TAGAATTTGAAAAAAAAAATATCTAAGAAATATAGGTATAAATATTGTTGGACATGAGCAAAAAATAAAACACATCTAAACTAAATAAAAATATTCATTACAAAATATGAAACATGATTAATTGGATAAAATAATTTGAATAAAAAACACATAATAAATTACACATCTCATTATTATTAATATAAAAGAATGTTATATGTGTGTATTAAATATTAAAAAAATTATTAAAAATGTGATTGTGTTGAAGCCAAAAAACCATGACAATGTCTTGATGCTAAGATTTGAACCTAAAATCTTCATTATTATAACCAAATACATGTTTTGCCAACTAATCTAACTCACTTTTTGTTAACATTCATCTGTTTTTATACTAATACTAAAACTTATACTATATATACATATATACATATATACATACAAAGGTTATATAATGGGTGGGGGTGGGGTGAGGGGGGACAGCTACCCCCTTTTGGCTCTATCCTTGACGGTTACAAAACATTTAGATATATTTATAGGAACAGTTACAAAACATGGTATATTATTATCTAAGAAAAAATATGAGATATTTAAAAGAAGAGATTGTGTTAAAAGGAAAATCAGAATAGAGAGATAAGGGAGAATCATCTGTTTTATTCATCATCTGCTGTCTGATACATGAAATACACTTTTATATATAACTAATACAAAAGGACATAAATAAACATAATGAGCCATAAAATCATTCGTTATGTCTGTTACAAATAAATGTCCATTGAATATATTTATAACACTCCCTCTTGGACATTATTTGTCTGCAATCTTGCTAGGAAAACCCTGTGGGGAAAACCTAGACAAGAAAAAAGTACAATAAAAAATATATTCATGCCTCATTAAAAACTTCACTAGGAAAACCATGTGGAAAAAAAACCTAGTTGAAGAAAAGAGTACATGATATATGTAAAAACATATATTGTATTGGTCGCCTCATTAAAAACCTTAACTATTAACTATTAAGAAAAACCTTGTGAGAAAAACTTAGTTAAGGGAAAAAGAGTACAATCGTGAGCCTTCAAGGCATAATTGGCATAATCTTCAGGATTTTGGGGTTTGTCTACTGAAGCAATTAGTTTGCAACATTTTCCCATTACATTATTATATCATACTCATGCCTCGTTAAAAACCACACTAGAAAAACTCAATGGGAGAAAACTAGTGAGGAAACAAGTACATGATATTTATATATTTATGTGTTGCAAATAGTGCGCAAATGTTAGTCTTTTATGACTTAATCTTCAGGATTTTACGTCCAATCTTCCGGATTGATTCGAGTAAATGTTCTTCCTGTCTCCCTCTGAAGATAACAATCTTCAAGTTCTACATGATAAAATGTATTTCAAAATTTGAAGAAATGGATTGGACAAATCTTCTGGATTGTCACTAGAGTAAATATCTTGTACAATAATCTTATGGCTCTTCTAGAGCTCATCATATAACCTTTGTGCAACACAAGTGTTATTGTCCTCATTTTGATCATTTAGGGAAATTCATTGTATAACCAATTTGGACTTGGCATTACGGGGATCAAACAAAATAGCCAGTACCCAAGTAGCCTATTAAAATTGTATCATAGTTTATTACATAAATGTCATGTCTTTGTATCTCAAAGATACCAGAGGATATCTTAATCATTATTCAAGTACTTCATTGTAGGAGGAGCACTAGATTTTGCTAGCAATTTCATCGCAAATATCATGCATGTTGCGATTATGGAACTTCTGGTTCTAAAATGGTGCTCCAACAATAATGAAGTAAGGGACTTTGAGTCCAAATGGTTCCTTATCTGCTTCAAGAGATTATTATGCAACCTTTAGTTTGATAAAAACATGACACTTATGCATATAGACATGTGAAAAACATTTTTAGATGTAGGCTGACTGGTGTATAAAAAAATTCTTCAAGGTAAAACTCGATCTTCAAGTCGAGATAATACTTATAGCTTTCACAAGTTTTTTATTTCAAAAATCTCAGTCTTTAAACATGAATTGACATCATCAAGCTCTTTATATATTTCATTGATGTTTACACCATCAATATCTAAACTTATTATTCTGTCAATTGTATTACGTAGCGGAACTTAATGCCATTTACCGTGGGAGAGTATATTTGATAAAAATCAATTAAGGTCTCGGCGTGAACTCATAGGCTACAAACTCGCTTCATATCTTATCACCTTGTTATTCTTATTTCTCTTTCATGCACACACCTATTTGTAACCGTCAGGGTTAACGCTCAACGGTGTATTGTTATAAAGAGAATTATTCATTTTAGCGAGGCGAGCTATGCCGTAATTGCTCCTTTATATGTTAATAAATAGTCATAGAACTTCCGGTGCCCAACTCTGGATCCAGATTATCATATAACGAGCAATTTGTAATGGCAATTGTATTGTCAACAACTATAACCTTTTTATAAATGTCTCCCATATTTGTAAAAGTTAATGGTGATTTCTAAACCAACCAGATTCTAGACATTTTCCCAAAGATATTTTGATCTGGTCGTTCCGCATCCCTAGTATTACGTTTGTTTGGTGCACCTATCAATTTTACTAGGGTTTTTCGTCATCTGGACGAATGTCTGCGGACATAATTATTCAATGCTATTTCAAGAGTGACAATGTTTCTTTACTAGATCTAGTATTATGATTCATATCTCTTTCACTGATAGATCTCCTCCACTTCTAATGTCAAGGAGTATCGGTAGATATATTTGGTCCAAGTTTGGGGAAGGTATATTGGACCTAGTCACTCTTTTTATGATCAGTATGATCAATAGATATATTTGGTAGATTATTTGCTTCTAGTTCAATCTAACTAATACGTGGATTTAAATAGTGAAGATCTTTTCATTTTATGAAGATTCTCGGCATTCTAAGAACCCGCCAATGTCTTGAATAACTGCCTCCGATCGGAACCCAGTAAGAAGGTTGCGGATTTGCACCAAAAAATCAGCATGTTTCAACACTACCTCCTCTGGATAAACATCTGGAGCCAACCTTTGCACTACAAAACTCCATGGGTCGTCGTCTATAACTCTAGTTATGTCTGCTTCATGGAAATATCGTATCAAGAACCGGTGTGGCTGAAGTTGACGCATAGTGAGGCCCAACCCCGATCTCCAAACACCAGCCATGGTGTCCTGAAAGAACTGAAACTTGATAGGCTTATTGGTGACTAGTCTGTCAATCGCATAGAACCCCACTTCCTCATCTATTCGCTCAACAGGAACGTCCTGGAGATGTGTATTACCATCCTCATCGTCCACATCCGCTAAGGTGAGATTAGCGCAGAGATTTGAGAAATCGAAACGCACCATGATCAACAACGACGAAGAGATGTCGTTCAAAAACTGTAATAAAACCGTTCAAAGAAGAAGAAACTCGCGAACCATCGAGAGGAAAAGAGATAGTTATATTTTTTTAGTCAAGAATTATCAGTATGATTACTTTTTTATTCCTCAATTTTTTTTAAAGATCAAATCTGGTCTAAAATGTCCAAAATGCTCTATTTTCATTATAATTTATCATTCATGACATGAAAATATTTAAGATATTTTGAACCAGATATGATTTATTTTAAAGTTTTGAAAAAAATAAAAATGGTTAACATAACCGTCAATGATTAAAAATGAAAGTGAACAATATTGAACAAAGTTAATACTACGTATTAGGGAGTTGAAATATAATCTGTCTGTTGGTTTTTGAACATAGTTTGGCTGTTATGAAGAGATTGCAAGATAATGAAAACCACCCACTTGACACATGCTGAATTCACAACCCACCAATTGGTTTCATGTTAAAAAAGGGAGCCAAAGTCATTATAGGGCCATTTGCCCGCACACTTAGATATTACGAAGGAAGATAAAGTTGAAATGTGAAGGGGTGAGTGATTAAGGTGAATTTCAAATATGAATATCTTCCTTCAACATTATTATTATTGGGAATAAGGGTCAAATAGGCCATTGAACTGCACCCAATAATGCAATTAGGCCACTGAACCAAAAAAACAACAATTAGGCCACTAAACTAAGCAATTTCATTCAACTATTCTAATTTACAGGTTTTGTAGGTTACTAAAAGGTCACCCAAACAATTTAAAATATTTTTTAAAAAAAATATTATTTAAAAATAATAAATTGAAAAAAAAAAAAAAAAAAAAAAAAAACTCGTCTCTGCCGGAGACGAAGAAACTTTCTTCGTCCATGGCCGGAGACAAGAAACTCGTCTTCGGCGGAGACGGTTAATGTTTTTTTTTTTTTTTTTTTTTAAATTTTAATTTATTATTTTTTAAATAATAATTTTTTAAAAAATATTTTAAATTGTTTGGGTGACCTGTTAGTAACCTACAAAACTTGTAAATTAGAATAATTGAATGAAATTGCTTAGTTTAGTGGCCTAATTGTTGTTTTTTTTAGTTCAGTGGCCTAATTGCATTATTGTGTGCAGTTCGATAGCCTATTTGACCCTTATTCCTTATTATTGGGGTCGTAAGACACTTGCCCTCACAATTCCACACCCTACCCAACAAGATAGCAAAGACCAAGCTAAGGTTTGAAACTTGACAGCGACATCGTGGATTATGTCCAAAATAGACAATTTTTTTGTGCACACTGACATTTAACCATGTCTATTGAGCCACTGAATTACCATGATTTACATCCTAAATCAGAATATGGAGGGCCCTTAGCGACTCATTATGCGAAAAAATTAGTATCTGGTTCCCACCATATCAGATATAACTTCCACACTAATCATTCCGCTACTATCCCAAAGTTTTTGATTGGATGAATGGCTCCTAGGTGGGTAGAACCAGTGCTCCGAGATTCTCTTCACTATGGTCTTCCTTAGCTTTCGGGTAGGGGTAGATCCTCATCAATGAAGGTGATAGCCCATGCCCAAGTGCTTCCCTTTCTAGCTTAGTTGGGATTTCAAACTCCAATTCGGATAATATAAATAATGCCCACCCTCAAAAAAATAACCATGCTCATGGCTACATAATATATATATATATTCAGATTCTTTTTAGTACATCCCAAGAGAGAGTGGGGTTTAATCTATATTCACAGGTCACTAGACTACAAAGTCTAACCCACAAAAAAAAAATTAAAAAAAAATACAAATATTGAAGTTCTGTTTCCACTGTTCAGCGAATTATAAAACTTTGATGAAGCTTAACCAGGATAAGGGAGATTAGATCTCATTCAGCAGTAAGGGTATAAGGCTAAATTCATGGACACAGAGAAGATCTTTATTTACTTAATTTCCTTCTCACAAGCCCCTTGAAGAAGTCAAAACTGCAGTAAAAATGATTACAATCTTTTTAAGTCCAAACACACAATTTACTTGAAATGAAATTCAAATATAAAAAGGATAAGATTGGTTTATAATCTGTCAAATTTTTTTTAAAAAAAAAGTAAAACTAAAATTATAAATTTAAAAAAATACAATTGCAGTGATATTATCAAAAAAGCACATTTATACTACATTTTCTCCAGCACAAAATTTTCCTTAATGATAAACATCTACAAATCAATAAAGCACACAATAACAAAAGCATTCATACGAGCACATATATACTGGGTATGTAGCAAATTGATTAAGTGTCTAAGGGAGACGATACATACAATCAACTGTAAGTGTACACAACTAACAAAATCATCATCGATCCACAATTCTTATGCAAATTAAAGATATAATAATAATAATAAATAAATAAATAAATATCTAGTAAACTTAAAAATGAATACTTTGTGAAACAATCACCATATGCTTTTATCTGATCTTTCATCACTAGGGTAGCTTCGCCTTCTATTAACAGGCCGGCTGTCCAGCTGAAGACGTTGTGGTACCATCAAGGTAATTTGGTTCAAAGAGAACTAATACTATGAGGCAAGTTTCGTTGTGCTAGTGATTGGTAGGGGGACTAAAGATGGGACCAGACTAGCAATGCTTTTTTCTTATTGAGCATGATTATATATTAGTAATATTGCAATTGTTTGAAAGCAAAGAGTGGTGATGGACTTAAAGGATGGATTGGAGTAACAATCCTATGCTTGGTTGGAGGACTAATGATTGTAAGTAAAGCAATCCCAGGACATGATATGATGTAAGGGTGGGGATTGGAGAGATTGAGATTATGTATGAATGGTTATTTTCTCCAAATCCAAGAGAAAAACAATCAACCACACCCTAGAACTTACTCTCCCAGACCCTAGTCAAATTTGGTTAGTGAGAGAGTGGACAAGCTTTTTGGTTTACGTAAAAGATGTTAGTGATACATCAGAGAAACCTTAGAACTTTACCTTCAAATCATCCCAGATTTTGTATACATCAGAGAAACCTTAGAACTTTACCTTCAAATCATCCCAGATTTTGTATACCTCTAATTGTGCAGAGACTCAAGATAACTTTTGTAATAGAAGCACAACAATGTGCTGTACGCTAAACCAGAAAACATAAAATGCGGGTAACGAGGTTTTCTGGCTGAAATGTTAGCATTTCCCAATCTTATCACTACTTAAAACACATACAAGGCTGATAATGAATATGAGAAAATATGATACCTGTTGCCATCGGGATGAAGTTCACATGTTTGACCATCATCAGTTATGGCTAATAAGTAACCTGAGGATGATAAGCCCTGAATACAGAAAATTAATTTAGAAATCTCAGCATAAAGTCAGAGAAAAAAAAAGAAAATGGCACCTAATCAAATTGGAGAAGTTGGCCAAATAAGAATTTATAAAGACCCTTTCATCCCATATATTTATCTGAAGGGAAAATATTAAAGGAGTCAGCTGACCTGAATGGTCACAAAATTCTCTACAAACTGATCCTGGTTTTCAGTTTTCTCCTGTACAATAACTCGCTGTCCACTGTAGTCAAAATAAATCAGAAGAAAGAATACTAGCAAATCCATAAAAATAATTCCAAGCAAATTTAAACTTCACAGATATCAGCACTTGTTAACCAAATCCAGAAAAACAATCCTTTAAACTTGAAAATCAAATACTGAGTTGAAAGCAAAATAGTGGAAAAACCTCTCCCATATTATGTTAAACAGATGCACAATCATGTGTAGGGATGACTGTCATATATATATAATAAGTTTGCATTGGGCATAAATCCAACTGAAATAATTCCAGAAGCAAGGCATTTTTAAACACAGTAAATTCAAATGCATTTACCTGTGGAGCCAAGTCTTGTAGTACAACTCCTCAAGAGGCTGAAATCCTGCATAGACAGAAAATTACAATAGAACTATAATGATAGACATGATTAACACACAGAAGAGGTGTTTTCAACAACAAAAATAAAAAACAAAAAAAAAAAAAAAAAAACAGAAGAGGTATAGGACTAGTACTGCATGATCCATTACCACTAAAATCGAGATGATTGTATAACAATTAATGGACCTGTAATTCTAAAGGTTGTTAACATCAAATATGTAACATCAGTTAAAGAAAAACAAGATCTTAGAACACTATTATAATCACATCTCCAGGCATCATGACAAACTTGGAATAAATGAGCCAAAACCAAAGGGATGGAAGTAAAGGAGGGAGATAGGCATTACATTCTCTGGTTACAGGGTACAAAGAGGAAAATTGGAAGGGTGGAGTATACAGCCTTCATAAAGTCTTGATTATTGTAAAATGAGCGAAAAGAAGGAAAAAAAATTATTTTTCTTTACTTACAATTCCTTTGAATGAAAGGACAAACAAATATAATTTCCTAACACAACAAACTAAGCAATTAAGTTGGGTGTAGAGGGTCTATCATTCTAAAGTCTATAAACACTTCAGCAGTGTACTTACTAGATCTCCAAGTAAGCATGTGATGAACAGGGAATAAATGAGCAAAAATTGGAGGAAATGAAGTAAAAGAGGGAAATCTGAAATTACAGTCTGGCTAGAAGGTACAAAAAGAAATCAAAAGGGCAAATGTTACAACCTTACTAACCTTTATAAAGCATTGCAAGATGGATAAAAAATCAGTTTCCATTACTTAATATCCCCTTGAATTTAACAACATGAAGTGGAAATAATTCTCAGAATAGAAAACCTTAGAAAGTCACCTTGATACCCTAGCTTAACTTCTTTGGTAAAAAAAAAAATGCCAAACTACTTTATGTGCCCCCAACACTTTTTGTTAAATACATAAGGCATATCTGGGAGCTTTATTGGAAGTGGCTACAGTCTTAGTTATTGAGTTAAAAAGAAGTGGATTCAAAAAGTGGCAAGTATGTGTCTTATTATCCCATGATTGCTCATATTCAAAGGAAAAATATCTCACCTTGATTAAAGAAAACATCAATGAAGGTCTCAAACTTATTGAAAAAGGCTGCCATAATATCTTCCCTTTTAAATATGTTTGGAACAGAAGTTGATTTCTGCAGAACAGCATTCAAGCATGTTGTGGGCTTTTCATTATCTACATTTATGCCTATTCCTGCATAACAACAGTCGGACGTCAAAAAACCATTGAATCAAGTTTTTAAAACCCTCACACTGATAAATATATACACCACCAAGAAAATCCCAAAGTCCTCTTGTAGTCTTGTTGGAGATTTAAGCAGTTCAATAAGGCAAGCAACTGAAATTTATAAAAAGTCCCAATGCACAGATCCAATATTATGACAAGTTTAAGTAGATTTATTTTTAATATTAGCAACGCACTAACTCCTGTGATGTGGAAATCAAGAAAATTAATAGAAGGAAGCATCTCCCCTAAACTCTAACCACCTTGCTCCCAAAAGGAAAAACACAAAGAGAATACAAGAGGAAGAGAAATTGAAGAAAAAGGAAATGTATTATTGTTAGTTCATTAAGTGAATGAACTCAATAAGAAAATCTTTTGTTAGAAAGTTAAGACTGTTTACCAGCACTGATATTAAACTTTTGTGACTTATATGTTGAAGTGCACAAAATGCCACCAACTTTAAGGCCACCTAAATATAAATCATTTGGCCACTTTATTCTTACATCAAGATGTGGTATACCCTGAAATGAAATACATTATCCAAAACAATGATATTTAAAAAAATCCAATAGAAGCAAATATTGAAATTTGGAAGAGTTAAAGCATTAAACTAGAATACATTTAAATATCACTCAGCCAAAATTCAGCAATCAACTTTAACGCATAAAAATCAGTTATAAAGAACTTACACATCACTACTTCACATTTCCTTCATATAAAAACCATTGATGAAACCTAAGGGAAATACTACTAAAAGACTCTCCACAAGCAACATAAAATTGCAGTATGTTTAAAGAAACTAGAGTCCTTAGGATGAATCTTATACCACATATCAGAGGTTTTATCTCAATAAGTGTTGCCCAAACTTTTTAAAGCGAAAAAGCGCGACGATGCCAGGATTAACTTAAAACCGAAATTTACTCTTGTTGTTGTGCCTTGAGAAGAGGATTAGGTTTTTGGGATAGTTTAGCATTTATTGTGTACTTTTCCAATGCCTTTTGTTTGCCTATATATTTGGTGTGTAATCTGAAGCTTTATATGGAATAATAAACATCATTTCTGCTTTCCCCTTCTACTGTTCTACAGTTGTAATTTGATATTCATTGTATCAAGCAAAAATAATATTGCAAAAATAATATCTCAAAAGTGTCATTTAAAGAATAATCATTCATCTATTTTACATGCACTTACCGTATTTAGAGGTGCTTGCATCCCCACTTGTTATTTTGAAAACTTAACCAGATTTGATGCTATTAAATAGGTGCAACACATCCAATTTCTATCTTAAACTGAATTCTCTGTATTACATTTAACCTACAATTTCAAAATGCAACAAGACTAGGCAAATAAATTTTGCAATGCACTTACACATTGCTTGCAGAGATCATTAATAGCATCTGTCATGGCAAGACTGACTACATACTGAACATGTGGCACCATTCGTCCATCTTCCATTTGTAAGGTAAAGGAAAACAGAAGGGAACCCTTTGGTGATTCCCACACATTCATTGAACGACCTACACAGATAAGTGGTCAGACAAAAAGTATCATAAACTTAAACCATTTATTGAAACACAAATACCTCGCCCCTTGAATTGCACATCAGCGACGCACGCTGCACCAACTGGCAGCTCACAGAAATTTCTGCCCAACAAAGAATAATTTCAATGGTGAAATTGTAGTAGGGGGCAATGCTTGGATTGGGACAATTCTTATCATATTTAAAGTCGAAATTTTAACCGATTCATAAAATTTAATAAACCCTATAGGTTATTAGTTTCAATACTTTTAGTCATGTTATATCCGGATATAAATTTGATCCAAATATATAAGATGTTAAAATGTCACATAGACTAGCCTCCAAAATAAAAGTATATACATTTCACTCAAGCCACAAACACATTTGAAAACATTTTGAATACCGAGTCTTAAAAAGCACACAATTTTTTTTAATGTAATTAATTTTATTAACATTATAGTCCAAAAAAATTGAGTTTGGAAAACGAATGTGAAAAATTTCTACGCATTACAAATTTTCTAAATTGAAAAATAGAATAAAGAGAATGGGAAAACTGGAAAGTAAAAAATGGAAAACGGAAAACGGAAAACGGAAAACTAGATAATTGAGGTAAATGCACCCTTAAATTTTCAAATCCTAAAGTTATCGGCTAGGATCAATTCTATTGAAGCTAAGTATGATCTTTAAAATAGGAATTCAATCTACTTTTACTTTTGGCTCTAGTTAGTTCATAAAAATACTAAACAACTATACAATTATTATAATCATTATACAATTTATTTACTCAATAATACAAAATAACATAACCTCTTTTGTTCTATCCATGATTACAAAATATCATTTTTAAGTACTCTAAATTTAGTGATAACTGAAGGTAAGAAATAATGAATATTCTCATTTTCAAAGAATTTCTTGATTGTTTTGGTACAAAGGGTCACTAGAAAAGATTAAAACCCTAATAAATAGTTACTAAACCCATACATACCGTGCAACGACGTCCTGTGTTGAAGGCAATCTAGGAGAGTAAACAAGGAACCTCCCGAGGCTCATCGTCAAAAGGGATTTAAAGTAATCTCTAATGTGAAACCCTTCGTTTCCGAGGCTATCTTCGACCTCCGGATGCAAAACAACTTCGACTTCATCGTCCCCAAGGAGTTTCATAGCATTGTTATTCTTCAATGACTTGGCCAGTTCATTCTCAGCTGCAGATTTCCCGCATAACACCAAAAGTGAAGGCGCTGATGATTCTGATTCCATATCTAACCCAAAAAATAAAATAAAAAGTTCAAGTTGTGTAAGATGAAAAAGTATTAGTAATTAATTAATTATACATACATACATGTATACATAGAGGGAGAGAGAGAAATGGTGTTTACAGAGTGTAGGGGAAGAAGTGCGGAAAGCCAAGTGAGAAGAAGATGCAAGTTGAGGAAGAGAGCGAAAGCAAGAGGAGGATCGATGGTGAGAGAGTAGAGGGTGGCTGGTCACTATCATCAAGTTTTGTATAGTCCGCTTCAGTTCAAGGGAGAGTGTAAATGGTGTCATGTTCTACTGGCATTGCTTATTAGCGGCACGCTCCACTTCGGGCATTGGAATCTCCTTCCAATTTTTGCGGCTACATAGATACACAATATTCAAAATACAAGATAATTAAACGAAATGCAACTACACTCATACATAATTAAATATTTAAATTAATTGTTGTTTTTATTTGATGATTTTATCGATACTAGGTCCACCATAAACAGGTAAAAATGTACATAATGGGGGTAAAAAAGTAGTAATATTATAGCTCAGGGTGCCAGGCCCAATAGCCCAAGGTAATGGTCCAAATAATAAATAAATAATAAAGTTGTAGCTCAAGTAGTGAGCCAGAAATAATAAAGTGGTCAAATCAAGTCCTTAACCTAATGTCAAAATATCTTACATATCCAAAGTTCCAAAATCCAAACACTAAATGCACAAATCTCAATTAACATGATTTCTTCATCCCTTCAACCAATATTAAGCCTAGTGAACAAAGAACAAATTTAAAACCAGAACTACATTTTTCTGAGAAAGTTACCCAGGCAAGAAGATTGACATTTTGGCCTAAAGCTGCAGTAATTGCACAAAATGACTTAGCAGAGAACGCGCAACGCAGGGAGAAGGAAACTCGAAAAGCATGAGCTTAGCAGGAGAATGCGCCAGTAGGAATATCATGCGGCTAACACTCTTCGCGCGTGTTTTGCCATTCCTCCATTTAGAGAAGTTGGTTTTGGTATTCTCCAAATTTCTTAAGAAAGTTGGAGATTGGAGAAGGAGTAAGCATTTAGAAGAAGAAATTTAATAAACTTCTCCAATTTTTATTTTTTCCACTTCTCAATTCTCCATTTTTCTGGAAAATTCTCCATTTTTCCAAGTTAGTAAACGACCCCATATTATTTTTTACAGTGCACAGTAGTAAAACATCAGTACATTCTAAGTCTTTAAAGCTAAGCAGTAAGCACAACTACAGAAGCAATCAATTGGTCAAAAAACGAAGAAATTGAAAATCAAAGCAATAAATCAATAATTTCATTAGTTTACCAGAATCAATAAACAATATTTGAATATGAAGTTTGAACTGCATAGAATAGGAACAAAGGCTAAAGCAAATCACCTATTGGGTTTGGCGGTGGTCGACGGATGGGAAGTGGCAAATATAATAATTATTTATTATAGTTCTTCTCCGCTGCCTCTTGTTGTTGAGAATTCTCAGGTTTAAACGAACGACCTATTAATCAACGAAGAGTCCCCACTTTTCCCAGATCGTAGAAACAATCCTTTATTAATTATTAGAGACCCAAGTCTCTACAGAAAACAATACAGAACAAAAGAAAATAGGTTAATCAATAATCAATAATCAATAATACTAATAACTATAATACTCCGTAATTAGGGCAAAATTCCGCAAGTGACGAAGAGGAAGAACTGAAGAAGACTACCGTTCAAACGAAGGTTGAAGGACTGACCGCTGACGGAGCTGCCGAGCTGTTATGTTGTTCTACTTCCCAGAGACGGTCCGGACAGAGCTGCCGTCCACTCGTCCATCAAGAACGGCCAGAAGTACACCTCGTCTGACGTCTTGTTCAGTTGTTCTTCTTCCCAGGGACGGTGCTGCCGAGCTGGTGTGACGGACCGACCGCTGACTGGCGACTGGCGAGGCACAGCCGCAGAGGAGAGACCAAGAGAGGACGGAGGCGACAGAGTGCGGCTAGGGAGTGGTCTACTGGTTTAGGAAGAAATGAATTAAAAATAAATAAATAAATATCTCTACTATATATATATATATATATATATATATATATATATATATATATATATATATATATATATATACTATCTACTATATATTATTATATATATCTATCTACTATCTACTATCTACTATACTAATAAGAGCCCAAGAGAGTTAGGCCTATAATGGATAGAAAAAATGGCGGTCAAGTTTTTTAATCAAATGAATGGTTCAGATTGATCAGATTTTAATTTTTCCTTGAGATTTCCTAATTTATCCTTAATGAATATGATTATCCGTTAACTTTTCCGTTAAATATTAACTTTTCCGTTAGTTTCTGTTAGTTCACCGTTAACTTACTCATTGATTTTAATAAGAAAGGTCTCAGGTTCGAACCTCATACCAATCAAATTAAAGTTGGCATAATTAGTACTCTATTTTACTTTTATTAAATTAAATTAATAATTTAGTAGCTACAACAAAAAATAATACATATGCATTTCTTTAATTTAGAATTATGTGTGTACTATGTCTTTATTCAAAAAAAAATTATTCATTATCAAAATAAATTAAATAAGAGAAATAATTTCATTAGTTATATTGTCTTTATTTTTTTCCAATGTAAAAATTCTTTACATTAAAATTAATCAATTAATTATATTCACTACATTGTCTATTATCTTTTTTGTGCACTATTTTTTAATTAAATATCAAAGTTATAATACCAAATAATGCTATATATTTATTTACCAAATATTTTATTAATACCATGAAAAAATTAAAAATTTTAAAAAACATAATAATTAATAAAGTCAGTCATATTAACTACTTGAGAGATTTGTTGACAAAGAGAGTATTCAAATCACACAACAAATTGAAGTGAGAACTACATCGCAATGTCCTTGTTTGATAATCAGCAGTTAGCGGATAACGTTAGCGAATTTGACCAGCGAATTATATTAACGGTTGGTAAAAAGATATTTGAAAAAATTAGCCGTTTAGATTAACATGTAAAATGACCTAAGGGTATACATATATTTCATAATAATAATAATAATAATAATAATAATAATAATAATAATAATAATAATAATAATAATAATTGTTATAACAAAATTAAAACAAAAAGTATAATTAAGCCAATCATATTAACTACTTGGGGGATTTATTGACAAAAAAAATATTCAAATCATACAACAAATTGAGGTGGGAAACTATCTCCCAATGTCCTTGTTTAGCAATCAGCAGTTAGCCCTTCAATATTAGTATATATTTAATATTTTATGCCCTAATTTTTATTTGCTCTCCCTTATTTCCCGTATTTGGTTTCAACCATACGCATACAACTATTTTATTGACAATTATAATTAATCTTCTTCCATTATAATTAATTTTGACTATATTATCTTGCATTTGTAAACTTAGAATTACCTATTCAAATACGCAAATTCAACATTTAATTATCTATGCATGAACAATTCTAATATAATCTTGCATTGATATATTTTATAGTACTTAAATATATAAAAAAATAAAAAAAATATATAATTAATAAAGTCAATCATATTAACTACTTGAGAGATTTGTTGACAAAGAGAGTATTAAAATCACACAGCAAATTAAAGTGAGAACTATCTCGCAATGTCCTTGTTTGACAATTAAAAATTAGCGGTTAGCGTTAACGGATTATATCAACGGATTTGACCAGCGAATTATATCAACGGTTGATAAAAAGATATTTCAAAAATTAACTGTTTAGATTAACATGTAAAATGACCTAAAGTAGTTACCTTGATATACTTTATAGTACTTATTTAAAAAAAACATTGGGCATTATCTCAATCGCGCAATGCGCGTAAAAAAAACTAGTATCTACTATACTAATAAGAGCCCAAGAGAGTTAGGCCTATAATGGGTAGAAAAAATGGCGGTCACAGATTTTAATCAAATGAATGGCTCAGATTGATTGAAAGATTGATCAGATTTAAATTTTACACTAAAATTTCCTAAAATACCCACACACCGTTACTAATTCCGTTAAAATTTTAAGAATTGCCGTTAGTTCACCGTTAACTTACTCATTGATTTCAATAGAAAAAGGTCTTAGGTTCGAACCTTATCCCAATCAAAGTTGGCATAATTAGTACTTTATTTTACTCTTATTAAATTATATATATATAAATAATAATTTAGTAGTTACAACAAAAAATAATACATATGTATTTCTTTAATTTATAATTATGTGTCCACAATGTCTTTATTCAAAAAAAAAAAAATTATTCATTATCAATAAATTAAATAAGAGAAATAATTTTATTAGTTATATTGTCTTTATTTTTTTTTCAATATAAAAATTCTTTATATTTAAATTTATTAATTGATTATATTCGCTACATTATCCTTACAATGTCTTTATTCAGTGAAAAAAAAAATTATTAATTATCAATAAATTAATTAAAAGAAATATTTTCATTAGTTATATTGTCTTTATTTTTCTCAAATGTAAAGTTTTTACATTTAAATTCATCAATTGATTATATTCACTACATTATCTATTATCTTTTTTGTGCATTGTTTTTCTAATTAAATATCAAAGTTATAATACAAAATAATGCTATGTATTTATTTACCAAGTATTTTATTAATACCATAAAAAATAAAAAAAATATAATTAATAAAGCCAACATATTAACTATTTGAGAGATTTTGTGACAAAGAGAGTATTCAAATCACACAACAAATTGAAGTGAGAACTACCTCGCAATGTCCTTGTTTTACAATCAGCAGTTAGCGGATTATACTAGCGGATTTGACCAGCGAATTTATTTAATTATTAACATTGGGTAGAAAAAATGACCGCCAAATTATTAAATCAAATGAATGGTTCATATTGTTCAGGGTTTAATTTTTTTTCTTTTAAGATTTTCTAATTTATCCTTAATTATATGATTATCCATTTAATTTTTCCGTTAATTCACCCTTAGTCTAATTCTAATATTAAAGTCTAACATAGAATTATAACTACACCATTAATCTAATTCTAATATTAAAGTCTTAATAGAACTTAACCACAAATCCTAATATCGGAATCTTCTCAAACAATATTAGTATATATTTAATATTTTATGCCCTAATTTTTATTTGTTCTCCCTTATGTCCCGTATTTGGTTTCAACCATACCTATACAATTATTTTATTGACAATTATAATCAATCTTGACTATATTATCTTGCATTTGTAAACATAGAATTACCTATTTAACCCGCACAGGCTTAGCTCAATGGTTTAGTGGGTAGTATTTGGGAGAAGAGACCAAGGTTTGAACCTCGGCGGTGGCAGTGTGGGAATTATGTCCAAAGTGGACGGATTCCTTGTGTCTAGCAGCATTTGACCCTGTCTGCTGAACCATTGAGTCATCGTGATTTACAACTTCCCACAATGCTCTGTCGGGCCGGAGTGTGGGGGGCCCTTGGGGTTGGGGACTCAACCTTTGGGAGAAGAATTACCTATTTAAATACGCAAATTCAACCTTCAATTATCTATGCATGAACAATTTCAATATAATCATGTCTTCATATACTTTAAAGTACTTATTTAAAAAAAAGCATGGGGCATTATCCCCATCGCGCAATGCGCGTAAAAAACTAGTATACTAATAAGAGCCCAAGACAGTTAGGCCTATAATGGGTAGAAAAAATGGCAATGAATGGCTCAGATTGATCAGATTTTAATTTTTTGTTAAGATTTACTAATTTATCCTTAATGAATATGATTATCCGTTAATTTTTCTGTTAAATATTACATTTTCCGTTAATTTCTGTTCACCGTTAACTTATTCATTGATTTCAATAAGAAAGATCTTAAGTTTGAAGTTCGAACCCTATCCCAATCAAAGTTGGCATATTTAGTACTCTATTTTACTTTTATTAAATTAAATAATAATTTACTGTCTGTTTGGAAACCTGGAAAATGACTTCTGGAAAATGACTTCTGGAAAATGAGTCATTTTCCAGAAGTCATTTTCCTTTCTTGTGTTTGGCTGCACAATGGAAAACTGTCTTTTGGTGTTTGGTTCATTTTCCAGAAAATGATGGAAAACTGTCTTTTGGTGTTTGGTTCATTTTCCAGAAAATGAACAGAATGGCACACTTATTTTTATTAAACATTTTAATTATTATATACCGAATAATATATTTTTATTTTTGTTTGTAGAATATAACAATTTTTATTACAAATTATATGCAACATAAATTTTGATTGTATTTAATTCTAATGTCATTACTCTCTATCTTTGTAGTACTAAAACTATTGTCACAATATGACAATTTGAGATCACAATTACATGTTAGAAACATCATAAACGCATAAGTAATCAAGTGTTGAAAATTAAAATCCACAAAGTGTTAGGATCCAATATAACAAGTACTAAGATCCAACAAAAAAGACATATATAATTTAATCCGTAGAAGAAATAAATTTCTCAATCCATTTTCTCTTCAAACTTGCATTCTTCGCATTGAAAATTCGCGCCTGAACCTCATTTGTCATCAAGTATTCAAATACCTTACATAGGTCATCTTCATGAAAGCCATCACCTATGCTCATCACATCCGCAAACAACTGATTTTCATCAATACCGGTATTCAAAGATTTAATTGCCGTGGCAATGCTACCGAGCTGTTCAGCAATTTCATCCACCTTCAAGTCAAGTGTCTTTCGCTTCCGACCGGATCTTTGAGACGACGCAGTTGATGCAGATGTTTTTCCCTTACTAATTTCTTCATCAATGTTATCAGGCAGGGTTTCATCAATGTTATCAGGCAATATCTCATCATGAGGACCATCTAAATTAACATTGTGACCTATTATATGTAAAAATATTAACACTTGTTCCTTAATACTTACGGCTCTAGTTGTGCGTAATAAGTTCTTAGTAGCAAAAATGTCACACAATTTATAGAAGGAAATAGGTCGCATTCTAATAACGCTAAT